AATTTTTGGAGCTGTCTACTGACCCAGAATTCTAAATCAGTCATTTCAAAGCTTTGTCCAAGTTCTCATCCATTTATTCTTCTCATTCTTCCTTCATTCCGAATCTTAAAAAAATACCAGTCATGCTGAAGAATACCAGTGACACAAATGAAAGATCAGTCCTTAGTATGTGTTGCAAAGCATAACTTTTAGCACAAGGTTTATCTTAATGAGGAATAGGCTAGTGGATTTGAATAGTTTAAAACGTAGTTCTTTAGCGGAAATTTTCCTTCTGTCTGTGGTGCTTTTCAGTAATCAAGAATATATAAATGCAGTTACAGAATCTCCTCTGTGGAAATTTTCCTTCTGTCTGTGATGCTTTTCAGTAATCAAAAATATATAAATGCAGTTACAGAATCTCCTCTGTTGTGGTATACCTGCTTTGTTGCAAACCTCATACCGTATTTTTAGAATTCTTAAGTCATGATCTTATCTGTGATAACAGTTGCTGAGTTGTAGAAACGCGTAGTGCTGGAGTTTGGCAGTTTGGGTATGGTGTCGTGTGAAACGTTTTGAACAGATTTCTAATTTTGATGAGCTTCTCTGACTTACGTACTGTTTAACGGTAGTATTTTCTCATTAATATTTGGTCCAAGTTATCTTGCCAGCCTCTCTACAACTCAGTGTAATTGACATTTCCTTTTAAGTGCAGTTGCAGTTGCTGAGATAATGAGTAGTATTTTAGGTCATTGTCTAGATCTGATGTTTTTGAAAATGCAGTGCAGTACCTCCTACGGAACATCCACGAAATAACCTTTCTGGCAGAAGTGGTGCTGAAATGTTCCAGTAGTTAAGGTTAAAAAAATCCCCTCTTTTATTAGGTACTCTTAGATTCCAAATATTAAGCTTTACAGCCTAGTTCTGCATAGATATGTCACACAGTGGCTCAGCTTTTAGCTGTTAACTTTCTAGGTTATTTTTGTTTCAGCTGCCATAGATTAAACATACAGATCGAGGTGCATGCTGCTTCTGCAGACATAAGAACTTCTTGTTTTCTTGAGCAAATTATTTCTGCATACTGTGTAATGTTGTAATATTCTCATATCTATATATCCCAAATAGTAGTCTTTCTCCAGTTGGTTATCTTGGGGATTGCTTTGCATGGGCTCTTGACATGTGAACTTGATTTTTTTGTCCTAGTGTTATTTTCACATCTTGGTGGCTAAAAGGGTTACTTTGATTGTTTTGTGACAATGTTTGTTGTGGGAAGATACTAGCTGTCCAGTTAAGTTCAAAGGAATTTTGCAACTCTGTGCTGGAAACAATTGGAAGACTAAAAACAACAACAACCAAACCCACCCAACAACAACAAAAATCCAAACAAAACAATAATAAAAAAACCCTCCACAATCAAACCCCTATTTATTATATCATAAGTAGTAAACATTTTTTTGGAAACTATATTATTGTATCAATTACGTCTGTTCTGAATGTGACGGGGTTCAGTGAAAGTTAAAAATTTAAGACAATGCTTTCCCATCAGCCTTTCCATTCTGTGTAATAATTGTTGTCTAATTCCATTGGCTACCTCTGGGCTTTTTTTTAATACTTTTTTTCCCCCTCTCCTTGTCAAATTTCTCAAGTTGAAATATCGTAGTCTGAGGAAACCCAGTGATCTTTCAACACCAACTGTTGTAGGAAGGTGAAGTAGAATGGTCTTCTCTAGTTCAGATTCTGTAAATTTCAGAATTTACTTTTACTGTGACAAATCAGATAGTTCTTAGTAGTGACTTATGCGGGAGTTTTGTTGGAATATAGAAAGTGAAATTTTGCTAATTACTTGAAATAAATAAAACAGGTGACTGAGAGTTTTCAAGACAGTCCTGATTACTCTGACCTCTTACAAAATGTGTTTTATTTTTCAGATTTTGGATCACTCTTTGATCTGGAACATGACTTACCAGATGAACTGATCAGCTCCACAGAACTGGGACTCACCAATGGTGGTGACATTAATCAGCTGCAGACCAGCCTTGGCCTGGCACAAGATGCTGCCTCTAAACACAAGCAACTGTCTGAACTTTTACGGGCTGGTAGCTCCCCAAATCTCAATATGGGGGTTGGTGGCCCTGGCCAGGCCATGGCCAGTCAAACCCAACAAAGTAGTCCTGGAATGGGAATGTTAAACAGCATGGTGAAAAGCCCCATGGCACAGGCTGGGTTGACTTCACCCAATATGGCAATGGGTGCAAGCGGACCAAACCAGGGTCGTTCAGCCCAACCCACAGCCGGCATGATGCCGACAGTAAACAATCCGGTTAACCAGCCTGGCATGGGAATGAACACAGGGATGAATGCTGGCATGAATCCTGGGATGTTGGCAGCAGGCAACGGACAGGGGATGATGCAGGGGCAAGTCATGAACGGTTCAATTGGAGCAGGCAGAGGGAGACCCAATATGCCGTACCCGAACCCAGGAATGGGTAGTGCTGGGAACTTGTTGGCTGAGACACTGCAACAAGGCTCTCCACAGATGGGAGGACAGGCTGGCCTGAGAGGGCCACAGCCCGGAGCCATGAACAAGGTAAGATGAGCTAAACTTGACTTTATTACCTTGCTTCCTTGTTGTTGACTTAGTTTTGTAAGGTTTATTCCTCTGCAGTACAAGTTCTGCAGACTAGGATTTTTTTTTTTTCTTTTGAGAGTCCTGGATCTTGCGGTAAATAGTTTATATGCTCCTAAAGCAGAATTTGTGGCAGTCATGGGAGGCAAAAATTGAGTCTTGCACAACAAGCAGGACTATTGCTAGATTTAAAAGCCTGTTTCAGAAATCTTCTGGCAGTATAGATTATCAACAGCAATGAGAAGTAACTTGATTGTATTTTATTCTGTTTTATGCTTGTCCACCAGTGTACTTTCTCATCAGATGTGATGCTGGTATTGAGTGTGTTGGGAATCCATCAGGATCTTGTAGATCATATAGCGCTTTTTTCTCTGTGACACCTGATGAGAGTACTTGTTGCAGTGTTTATCCTGTAGCACATGCAGATTTGAATGGACTGATGCACTTTGTGCATGTGTGTCTTAACACATTGGCCTTGGTAAGAAAGAGGTGTTTGAGTTAGTGGTGGAGAATGAGTGCTTGCATAAAAACCTTCAGACAGATGTTGAGTTCTTAAAGACTGTTAATCCAACTTGGTTCTAGTTTTTAAAATTTACAGAGGTTTTGTCTACAGGCAAGTAAACCAGACAGCTGAAAAAAGTCTTTTAGATACTGAAGAGGGAAATAGATATGATTTTGTAATTTAGGAGATTGGAATAAAGTTGTTGTCATGAGTCACTGAAAAGGCAAGGAAAGACCTAGTAGTATAAATGACAAGGAGATGTCTAAATTTAATTTTTGTCATGCACTGCTAGCTTTTTTAGAGTATGGAGCCGCTTGAGTATTTCTTGCATTTTTGTTGTTTTCCTGAACTGAAATGTTTCAGTTCGCTTTGGGTGATTATTTCATGTTTCTTGGCTAATGAGGGGAAAGTTTCTCAAAGGTGCATTGGCAATACCGGGAAAGATCTGTCTTGGAATATTCTGAGTCAGTCCACTTAGAGGGCTTGAAATGATACGTAACATAGTCGAAACAGAAATGAAAATCATGCTATGTATGAATGGTTTTGTTGTACTGTAATGCATTAATTAAAATTATTTTAGTGTTTTGTGAATGTTGTTAAAGTTCTTTGGTCTTAACTATTTCCTTAAACTCAATGTGCTGCTAACAATGGTTCTGAGATATATGTGTATATATATATCTGCTAGTGAGTTGATTTTGTGGTCTGGTCATTTTGGATGTTTTTGCCTGATAAGTTGTTGCAAAGCTTGATTGCCACAGTAGAAAATTTGTGTGCAGTTTAGAGTGGAAAGAAATAATGTAACTACTTTAAAATATTCTTGTATTGGAATTTCATAATGTCTCATTCATTATTTCTTTGCTGTAAAAAAAAAAATCTGCTTTGATCTTAGAAAGCTGTATTCAGAGGTCAAAAATAGAGGTGTTGGGTATTTGAGTGAAATGCAGCTTCTTAATCCTTACTTATCAGAGCTAAAATAGGGTTATGGACTATAATAAAGTAATAGTTATCTAAGGAGAGTTAAAGAAAGGAGACAAAAATCAAGCTTTTGGCTGATGTAGTCCAAAATTAAATTGTCTTTCTCACTTGCTTAAATTCCAAAATGTGCTATACATCTAAATTAAGAACATTTTGTGCTTTGGGCAATATTCAGACCAGATACATGATAACTTCTGGGTTTTAGTCTGTAGTCCCGGACTGGTTAAAAATGCTTAAGAGTTCTTTAATCTTTGTTAAAAAAGCCTTGATACTTTTAGTGTAAGTATGCTGGGTATAGCCTCATAAAGGAGTTGAAACTGACAGATGAGAAAGAACAGTCTGAAATGGAGGCTGAAATTCAAGAATGTCTTCAGTTGGTTTGGTTGTTGGCAGGGAGCCTATGTTTCACTTCATGCAGTGGATTTAGCAAAATCTGACAACAGTAATGTCTGACCATTTTATCTCTCCACCCATCTGCTTTTGTTTTTTCCCACCTACAAATCTTCAAAAAGTACGTGAAAACAGAGGACCCTAAGCAGTTGTTTTTAAAAGCCAACTTTTTAAGTTGGCAAATTTAGTACTGTGTTGCTGTTAATGTAGGAGTTTGTGTAATAACTTCTGTAGGTTTTCCTTCATTGCTGCAAAAAATGTGCATTACTGAGGAGCTGTTGTTCCGTGGGAGGAAAAAATTGATCAGAAAACTTGTGTTCATGTCAGCTTGCCAAAGGCAGCCCCTTAAGGTGATGGGAGGGTTGCCTCTGTGAGTTCTCTCTCGATAAACCAGAGGTGTGTTGCCCGCAGTGGTTTGTACAGAGGACTAGCTTAGGTTTCCTGTGATGTTAACTAATTGTGAGGGAGGATGTTACGCTCTTCTGAATGTAACAGTGAATGAGCTCCAGGTGGCTAGAGAATTTGGAAAGCAAAACTGGTTATGTTTCTGCTTTGTTTGATTGTCCAGTGGAGTTACTCAAGTGTTTTCTTCCTCTCCTCCCAAAGCATTGGCTTGCAGTAGGGTAGAACAGTTGCTTTGCACATGAGCTATGTACTTTCCAACTTCTCTTGTTCTCTGTGTGAATTTTTGGGACTCACAATCCCAAATTCCAATGTAAGTGATCGATTTGGGCCCACCTGGCATACATAAACTTTTGCTGTCATAATCTGCTGCGTACATCCTGTGGTTTAATGCTGTAGTTCTACGTATGATGTAGGCAGTCACTGACATACAAAGAAGCAATTCTGTCTGTATGCCATCTCTGTGCCAGTTGCGTGACAGGCTGTGTTGAGGAGGTAACCCAGGCTTGGAACTCACCTGGTCATTTAAAAAAACGTTTTAATTTGAATTGTTGTTCTAGTCCAATTTGTAGTCATCAGTTGGAAAACTGGTGTTGATACTAGGGAGGGGCCATATTAAAGGAGTTGATATTGCAGTCAGAGGAGGGTGTGGACTGTTCTTTGGTGACAGTACCAGCTTAAAAATGGCTGTGACAGTCAGGCCTGAAAGGAGCTGTTACAAGTTTGGAGGGGAAAGGAATTGTAACAAGTTGTGCTTTCTTGAAGGGCTTTCTGTTTGCATGTGCTTAGTTGTGTGCGAGTTAGGAAGACAACAGATGTGCCTATTGCTCTTGAAGTGGAGTTGTGGAAATTGTTTGTAATGCTTTGATTCTTTCAGTATTTAAGGATTTTTGGGGCTTTTTGTTTCACTAGATAGTTTTACAGCTTTGATTAATTTGAAAGGAAACAGCAAATTCAAGTTCTGTAATAAGTTAAGACCAAACCCTTGTTTTATGTTTTGAACTTTTGGAATTATATCTGGTTAAAATCTTCAGTTTGTTGTGCCACTGGATTCTGTCAAGGGTGCCCACTTACGGTCTTATTGTCCATCCTCTTATCGTGGGAGGGAGGGTATTTTACCCATAAGTTGATGTGTGCATTTCTGTGATAGCAGTGCTCTATCACAAAGTGACTAAGTTCACCTGGCCCTTAGGTCATTTAGATTTCATCTCCCACTGATTCAGGAAATGTTCTGTTACTCAAGTAATGAAATGGATGTGAAGGCAGTTCAGATTATTAATGGCATTACTGTTACCTCTGCTATATGGGTAGTTCACTCACAGGTGAAATTACTATAAATGTTTAGAGTTCCAGGTATAGTTTCTGGTCATTTGTCTTACTGTTTCAGTATGTACAGGGTTCTCTCCTACTATAATGAATACATTTGTTTATATCAGTTTAACCTCTGTTAAGAAGAATTGGTCGCAGTATTCTACAAAGACAAATGTAGTTCTTCAGAATCTCTGTAGCTTTAAGTAAAACAGTAAGACATTTCAAAAAAATAAACTCCTGTTTAAAATTGCAGAGGGACTGAGGATTATGTCATTCTCAAATTGTAAAATTAGATGAAGTAATTCGTGTTCCTTCATGTTAGCATGTTCAGTGTCACACTTTAGATAGAATGTCAGTGTTCTTCATTGCCTTCTTTTCAATAGCTGTTTGAGTCAACAGCTTAACGTATCCATATGACTTAGACTCGTGCCAAGTGTACCATATGATCAGGTACTAATCCGTTAAAAGTGTAATTGTGTGTTCTGGTCCTTTTCTTTTCCTTCTTTGTTAAAACAAGATGAAAAATCAGGTAATCTCTTACATTATCCCAGCGTAAGGAAGAAATGTGTTTGAGGGAGAAATGAGGCAGTAAAGATTTGTCTTGAATCTGAATTTTTAGGGTGGATAGGAGATGGTCTTGCACAGGTAGCGGTGAAATGATGCTCCTGACTTGTAGCTGTTTTAAAACATAATGTAGTCAACTGTAAAGAATAATGATCAATAATAGTCCTTGGAGAGAATGCAGCAGGTACCACTGGCAAAATTTTGTTGCTAAATTGGTTATGTTTGCATCCAGTAATGCTCTACTAGGCAGTAGAATGGTGCTAGGAAACAATTTACAATTCATCAATTATAAATTCTTCTTGTTAAAGGTCCGGCTGGAATTTAATAAAACTAACTTTCCAGTTTCAGCAAAGTTATTTAACTTCCACTTGTGAGCATGTGGATATGGAGAGGTACTTGATCCTATCAGTATGGTCTTAAACTAGTGCATACACTGCAGTTACACTGATAGGGATATGGAACTCATCCTGCAAATGTTGGATTATTTGGAAGAATGTTACTAAAACTAAATTCTACTTCTTTACTTCTCCATGCTTATGTTTATCTTTGCAATCTGAGAACTGGTCCTTGTTCAATACTACTGCTGATACCTAGTTGTCTTTCAAATACTAGTCAAATACTAGATTGTTGGTGAAGCAGTTGGTTTTGTAGAGAGACATTACAAATATTCTACTGTTTATGTGTGTAACTAACAGATACTCTTCTTCAGTTTGTACTCTTCAGTTTGATAGTAAAACTAGAAGCAGAGTTAGTTACTTGACCTTCTTCCGAGCTGAAGATGCGTGTGTTTCAGGGCATTAGAACAAAACTTTGAGGAATTTCTTCTACTTTCGTAGTTGCTCTTCTCAGAAGGACAGAGTGTCTAAACAGCCCTATCTGATGCCACTTGTGCTTGTGAACTAGGATGTTTCCTGAACTTGTCATCCATGCCCTTTGCATGGTCACAGGTGCACATCATCCACTGTTCTTGTAGTCACAGCCCCTGCTTCCACTGGAAGTAGGAAAATCCGTTTGGTTTCCACTGTATGTAAAAGGTATAACTGTTTGACATTACCTTTGCTGTCTGTTAACCATGCGTCATCATCTTTTGCTGTTTTCCCTGTTTTTGTGATGTGAACTTTTGCCTGTTCTTCCTTGTGTGCAAGTTCTTTCAGCTGTGATGAAAGTTGAGGTGAGGAGAGGAAGGAAAATAACAGATGGGATAGACAAGAAAAGATACTGGAAGAGCTGTAGAAGGAGATGGTGGCCAGGAAGGAGTAGAGGTTGTGCTCGCTGACTTGCAGCTATGATTCAGCTGTGTATCTCTCTGCGTGTTATTGCAGATGAAGCTTTGTCCTTGTCTCATGCAGTGGTATTAACACCACCTTAGCTTGGCTGGTTCTTCTGCACTCAATTGTTTATCTACCCCTTGCTCCCAATAGGTCATTAATGATGATGAACTCTCTGTCAGTCTTTCTGGTTGTTTCCTACAGATAAAACTATACAGCATTACTTTTTATCTTTCTGCAGTCATGAGGTTATCCATTTCTTCCTGTTGAATGTTTTCTTTTATTCACATTTCTCAACATGTCACAGAAGATGACATGAGCGTGCTCCTGCTTCTTGTGCCAGGGTGACAAAGTTGCCTCATGCAGGATGAAGAGTTTCTGAAATGACCCCTCTCTTGACACTGTCTAGTGTTGCGTGCAGGTGGTTGGTGTCAGGTTAGTGGGTCTGCGATGACAGGACTGGAGAAGAAAGGTGGAGTAGGAGGGTATTGCTGTGAGGTTCAGCTGTGGGTCTTGCAGGTGTCGGTCTTACTTGCACCAAGTGATGGCTGCTGATTTGTTCCGAGAGACCTTGATGCATTTGTCTTTTAGCCTCATTCTTAGGTGTTCAGGTGTGTGTTTTAGAGTTGGTTTGACATGCATGCCCTCCAACTTGGCCAGTGCTTCTGTGGTCTATGCCTCTTGTGTAGGCCAGGACTAGGAACTGAGGATTACCTCTGTGAGAAGCAGCTGAGCTGGGCATGTAGTCTTCTGCTGCCAAGTCCCTGGTTGGTACAGCAGGATGGAGGAAGTCCCATTGTTGGATGGGGGATGATGGTTCTTAGCCCTAGTTAGAGTGGAGCCCTGTGTTTCTGCCTTGGAGACAGCCTTGTTTGAGGGGGCTGGTTTTGGCACCCCAAACAGTGCCAATGGTTGATGCTTGAGAAAACATCAGTGTTGGGCCAACTTGATTTAGTATATTTGAAAAAGCCAGATGCTTCACTTGAAGTTTGTGTCTGGGAGTGTTGCAGATGTAAAGGTTGATTGATGTGGTCAGTCCTCGCCCTCGAATTCCGTTAGAAAGCTTCTGTTTGGGGCGACACAGCAAAGGTGCTTTTTTTTAAGTCTAGGTCTGGGTTTTCTCCCCCTGCAGTCAGGACAGAGCTGACTTGTCAGGCCACAGCTATCAACATATATCAACGTGTGAAGCCCCCTGTCTGACTTGAGATCTTGATTTCTCCCTGTCACACCAGGGTGTCAAAGTGTGCATTCAGACTTCAGTTCCAAATTGTTTGTTTAGGGTTGTAGGTTTGTTTTATTCTTAAGGCTGATAGCATAAATTGCAGAAGTCATATGGGGCAGTGTTAGTGATGGCCAACGTAGCCTGTGCTTTAGTGTACTTTCAGGTGTCAACTAACTTTGGGAGCTATGGTTGTTATCAATCAGTCCTTCACTAAGTCTTGAACCTGTTGGTCAATCTGGAGCAGCAGAGACAATGGGGAAGAGTCCTGTTCCCTTATGTTTTTCTTCTCTGTTTCCTTTCTGCTCAACTCACAGATAAGATCTTACTAGTCTTCAGAGGGAGAGGCAGGAACAATTTGAGTCTTACCTGCTCTGGTTTTGGCAGCCACCATAAGTGTATTCCTTGCAGTTGAGACAGGGCAGGGGTGGTGCCAAAGGAGACAGAGGAAGGGAAACTTTTCTAGTTCTACCTGGTCATTGCATAGTTTATCTGCCATGTGTAGAGATTCTTTTCACTGTTCTCTAAAGAATCACTGCTGTGTGATTATGGTTATTGCTTGTGTGTGGAGGAGGGGGACTCTCCTTCCAGGAATTCACTTGTATGTGTCAGATGTCTAAAGTGGCAGGTTCTTTACTGAATTTTTGTGTTCTTTTTCCCATAGCTTGGGTTTGCATCTACAAAATGAAGCAGGAACAAACTGAGGCTATTATAATAGATTGGCATGTGTTTGTAACCTGAAAAAGGAAAGTGTTTGACTAATTATAGGTAATCTCTGGGCATGTAGGTTACTTCTCTGTACAGGTTACTCCTTGGTAAGAGAATAAATGTAGGAGTGATGGGAAACAAACCTACCATAGGAGCTTGTACGTGCTTTTTTGGATGCAGAAAAATGCCCAGACTTGAATCAAGAAGCGTTAAAAGAGACTGAACATAGTCTAGTCAAATGCTAATGTAAGTTGAAACAATACAGCTCTTTAAAGTATTTTCATGCCTTTAGTATACTAAGTTATAGGTCCTCAAGGGTCCTGCCTGAGTACTTGGTGAGAACTTGATAATCTTAATAAAGATCTTCAGTTTTACTCCTTCTCTGTGGCTACTTGTTTTGGCCCTAGAAGGTGAGATTTCCCATGAAAAATAGTTGGGGATACAAGAAATGGAAATAAAATGTCACAGGATGAACAACCTAATTGGCCAGATTGCTCCTAACTGTTCTTTAGATTCTGGAGCATTGCAAGGCAAAAAAATTATATATTCTGGTATTCTAAAACTGTTGACTATGCATGTAACTGTTACAAAATATGAATCTTATTTCCCCTATGGATGAATAGTTCAATAGATTTGTTTTGTTTGCAGAGTTCCTTCCTGCCATGTCCTTTGACCTGTAGTATTGCTCACTGCAAATGAGTTACTGTGACTGTGTGTGGTGGTACCTACTCCTGTGATGTGTTCTTAAACTGAACATGGCTGTGTACTGAAAATGCAGACATGCATTGTTACAACTGTCTGGAGAGGAGCTGTGGGAGTGCTAACATTTGGGTGGGAGGTTTTGGGGATAAACCGTGTTGGTATGAATGAAGGTAGTATTTGTCTTCATTTGGAGTCTGCACAGATGCAAGGAGCAGAAAAAAATTTCCATAGTTTTGAGTTATATGGTACAAATTTGTGATTGGGAAAGCTGAAATGAGAAATCTGTGGAACAAAATCTTTCATAAAGAAAGAATCAGAACAATTCTGACCAGATTAACCTCAAAGGTTATAAGTTGACTTTGCTGTGTTTATAGGAACTGTTCAGTTGAAGAGTTAATGTTGTGTGATGGATAAATATATGGACATAAAGGAGCTGGGGAAGCATGTGGATTAGTATATTGGAGCTGGTTCATGGCTGTGATCACTCTTGCTTCTCTGAGGTATTTGCTTGCCTTTTACATTGTGAACTTAAGCCATTTTGTTTTAATGTCTTCTCATTTTAATTCCTAGATGGGAATGATGAGCAATCCCAGTCCTTACGGCCAACCATATAGTCAGAATACCGGGCAGCAGATTGGAGCCAGTGGGCTTGGGCCTCAGATGCAGAGTAAACCTGGACTGCAGAATAGCTTACCACAGTTTCCAATGGACAAGAAGCCAGTTCCTGGGGCATGGTAAGTAGGGGTGGAAGATGTCTCCAGAAAATACTGCAGTAAACCAGAGTGGTGCAGTATGGTCTGGTGTTGCCATAAGTTTTTGCAGCTGTCGTACCCAGTGTGAATGTGTGCTCTGGACCCATGTGTAACACACCAGCTTCAACTCCTAAAAAGGCTGATATGAAAGAGAGGGCTGAGATGTGCTTTCTTTCTTGATAAGCTGCACCTCTGCTCCTGGCCCTTCAAACCCTATTAGAGAAAGTAAAACGGAGCTCCTTCACTGAAGTGAGCTTTGCTGTTTGAACACCTCTGCTCTTCTCTCCCATCCCTTTTCTTGTGGTTGGTGGATTTGGCCCCTTTTCCTCAGTGCAGGTTTGTCTTGAGGATTGTTTTCCTGCTTGTCGTCACTGATGTGTTTGAGAGAGAGAAGCATCTGTTCTCACACAGGTATTACCCACGGTAGGGGTTAGGAGCCCCAGTTTTCTGTTCTAACTAAGTTATTGCAGGCAGCCATCCTTATGCTGGAGGTTCAATGGCAGTTGTTGCTCTAGTAGCCCTGTTGTGTCCCCTGTTCTCCCCCCTCCACTGTTATTGAAGCAGAATTAAAGAAAAGGGGAAGCAAGAGTGCTGGGAGAAGTGGATGGCCCAGAAGTGAATGGCCCAATATTATAAATGGTAGACCTTAACATTATGGGTCCCCTAGCTTGAGCTTAACACTGGTGGCTGTGAATGTGTTTGCTTGGTTATTTTAGAAGCTTAAATTGGTTAGGACTATGACATGCAACATGTCCTGCCTTTTTTTGCCCCCTGCATTTTATTTTTGAATTTGGGAAACAAATTCACATTTCTGAATGCAACTCTTCTTTCTATGTTCTTCACATTCCACTCCTCAAACCCCCAGCAGGGTCAGCCTCTTGATCTTAGTTACTGTTGCTGAAAAAAACATTTCCAGGTAACTTTTGTACCTTTGAATTGGAGGAGTTCAATCCTGTGAGTTTCAGTTAATGTTTTATAACTTGAGCACGAAACATTAGAAGTCTAGCAAACCAGTTAGTTGTATGAATGTATAAAGAAGCAGACAAAACTTGTTGTTCAGAACCCCAGCTGTCAAGCTTGTGTTCAGTGCAGAATATGTACCTCTTAAAGTTGAACTGTTACCCGGCTGAACCTATGGATGAAAAGTTGCTGCAATCTCAGTTGCTGTTTAGAATGACAGGCTGCAAACAAGGCAGTTACAGTCATATTGGAACATATACAAACCCTGAGAGGACTAACTGATGAAGTCTCCTTGTAAAATGAAAGGTTAACACTAGTATTGAAGAGCTATGGGGAAACTGAGGTTTAGGAATGCAGGTAGTTGAGCTCAAAAAAAACCATTAGAGAACTCCAGAAACATCCTCTAAAACCTCTCTGAGTCTGCTGGAAACCGAAGGCTGTTGAACTCAGGTGATGCACAACATAGTCCCTGAGCCTCTTTTTCTTTTTTTTTCCCTCCCTTCTGAGTGCTCCTCAAATGTTACCTGCAAGAAACACAAAGAATTTTGAAGAAATAAACAGAAGTAGTAGTGGATGTTCCCATGCTTGACATAAGTTCTGTGGCATGTGTTCTGAAGTTGTGCTTCATCTCTAGCAGAGGCTAGGAGATGCTTGTTTCGAATGCCTATGTGCATATTTCTCGATGGGAAAAAGGTTCCTAGAACTTCCCTTCATTCTCCTCTTCTAGGAACAGTCAAATTAAGAAATCTTAAACTGAAATAAAGGGGAAAACTCTATACACTCTGAAAGGTTCTTTCTTCTGTTAACATAAGAATTGTGGATGCAACTTTCTAGCCTCCAGAATGAGGAGATTTGAAACTTGAAGTGCTGTTAGTATTTTCTAATTTGTCTAGCCTCACAAATTAGCCTGTGACCGTGTGCAGAGTTCTTCTGTGCTGCTTTGTGCTTGCAAAGAAGCATGTGCTGCTCTTTGATAAGGCAAGATCTAGGACTAGGAGAGTGATATGGGGAAGAAATTAGCGAGAGAACTATTGCCAGAACTGTTGCTAAGGGACATATTTAATATGAGTCATCCATAATTACAGATAGGTGGCTCGTCTCCTTAATCACAGACTGGTGGTTGTTTCTCTTCTATGATTTTGTTGTCATTGCTGTTGTTTACATACTAAATGGATTATTCTCAAAAATAAATTTATTCTTGGGAATTGTCTTTCCACCTTCTGCAGGGCCAGCAGCAGGCTCCCCAGGTTCAGCAAGCTGGGATGGGACCAGCAGCTTCTCAAGGAATGGGGTCCGGGGCACCAACAGCAGATCCAGAAAAACGCAAACTCATTCAGCAGCAACTGGTTCTCCTCTTACACGCTCACAAGTGTCAGCGGCGAGAACAGGCCAACGGAGAGGTGCGACAGTGCAACCTCCCTCATTGCCGAACCATGAAGAATGTCCTGAACCACATGACACACTGTCAGGCTGGCAAATCTTGTCAGGGTAAGTGGAGGAGTGGTTATATAGACGGGGTCAACATTTGCAAGGTGAGGAGGGGTCCTAGAC